CTTCCAAATATACAGTCATGTTGTCTGCAAACAGAGACAGTTTGACTTCCTCTTTTCTTGATTGAATACATTTTATTTCTTTCTTTCGCCTGATTGCCCCAGCCAGAACTTCCAATACTATGTTGAATAGAATTGGTGAGAGAGGGCATCTTTGTCTTGTGCTGGTTTTCAAAGAGAATGCTTCCAGCTTTGCCCATTCAGTATGATATTGGCTGTGGATGTGTCACAAATAGCTCTTATTATTTTGAGATACTTTCCATTGACACCTAGTTTATTGAGCGTTTTTAGCATAAAGGGCTGTTGAATTTTGTCGAAGACCTTCTCTACATCTATTGAGATAATCATGTGGTTTTTGTCTTTGGATCTGTTTATGTGATGGATTTATTGATTTGTGCATGTTGAACCAGGCTTGCATGCCAGGGATGAAGCCAACTTGATCATGATGGATAAGCTTTTTTATGTGCTGTTGAATTCAGTTTGCCAGTATTTTATTGAGGATTTTTGCATTGATGTTCACCAGGGATATTGGCCTGAAATTTGCTTTTTCAGTTGTGTCTCTGTTGGCTTTTGGTATCAGGATGATGTTGGTCTCATAAAATGTGTTAGAGAGGATTTCCTCCTTTTCTGTTGTTTGGAATAGTTTCAGAAGGAATGGTACCAGCTCCTCTTTGTACCTCTGGTAGCACTCAGCTGTGAACCCATCTGGTGCTGGATTTTTTGTTGTTGTTGTTGGTATGCTATTAATTGTTGCCTCAATTTCAGAACTTGTTATTGGTCTATTCAGGGATTCGACTTCTTCCTGGTTTAGTCCTGGTAGGGTGTAAGTGTCCAAGAATTTATCTATTTCTTCTAGATTTTCTGGTGTATTTGCATAGAGATGTTCATAATACTCTCTGATAATAGTTTGTATTTCTGTGGGATTGGTGGTGATATCCCATTTATCATTTTTTATTACATCTATTTAATTATTCTCTCTTTTCTTCTTTATCAGTCTGACTAGCAGTCTATCTATTTCGTTGATCTTTAAGAAAAACAGCTCCTGGATTCACCGATTTTTTTAAGAGGTTTTCATGTCTCTATCAGTTCTGCTCTGATCTTAGTTATTTCTTGTCTTCTATCTTTTGAATTTGTTTGTTCTTGCTCCTCTAGTTCTTTTAATTATTACAGTAGGGTGTCAATTTTAGATCTTTTCTGATTTCTCTTGTGGGCATGTAGTGATATAAATTTCCTTCTATACACTGCTATAAATGTGTCCCAGAGATTCTGGTATCTTGTGTCTTTGTTCTCATTGGCTTCAAAGAACATCTTTATTTCTACCTTCATTTTGTTATTTATCCATAGTCATTCAGGAGCAAGTTGTTCATTTTCATGTAGTTGTGTGGTTTTGAGTGAGTTTCTTAATCCTGAGTTCTAATTTGATTACACTATGGTCTGAGAGACTGTTTGTTATGATTTCCATTCTTTTGCATTTGCTGAGGAGTGCTTTACTTACAATTACATGGTCAATTTTAGAAGAAGTGTGATTTGGTGCTGAGAAGAATGTATATTCTGTTGATTTGGGGTGAAGAGTTCTGTAGATGTCTATTAGCTGAGTTCAAGTCATGGATACCCTTGTTAATTTTCTGTCTTATTGATCTGTCTAATATTGACAGTAGGGCGTTAAAGTTTCCCAACATTATTGTGTGGGAATCTTAGTCTCTTTGTAGGTCTCTAAGAACTTCCTTTATGAATCTGGGTGCTCCTGTGTTGGGTGCATGCATATGTAGGATAGTTAGGTTTTCTTGTTGTATTGATCCCCTTGCCATTATGTAATGCCCTTCTTTGTCTATTTTGATCATTGTTGGTTTAAAGTCTGTTTTATCAGAGACTAGGATTGCAACCCTGCTTCTTTTTTTCTTTCCATTGCTTGGTAAATAGTCCTTCAACCCTTTATTTTGAGCCTATGTGTGTCTTTGCACATGAGATTGGTCTCCTGGATACAACAAACCAACAGGCCTTGACTGTTTATCCAATTTGCCAGTCTGTGTCTTTTAATTGGGGCATTTAGCCCATTTACATTGAAGGTTAATATTGCTAGCTGTTTATTTTGCTCATTAGTTGATGCAGTTTCTTCATAGCATTGATGGTCTTTACAATTTGACATGTTTTTGCAGTGGCTGGTACTGGTTGTTCTTTTCCATGTTTAGTGCTTCCTTCAGGAGCAATTGTAAGGCAGATGGTGGTGACAAAATCTCTCAGCAGTTGTTATCCATAAAAATTTTTATTTTTCCCTCACTTATGAAGCTTAGTTTAGCTGGGTATAAAATTCTGGGTTGAAAGTTCTTTTCTTTAAGGGTGTTGAATATTACCCCCCCCCCCACTCTCTTCTGGCTTGTAGGGTTTCTGCCAAGAGATAGCTGTGAGTCTGATGAGCTTCCCTTTGTGGGTAACCCAACCTTTCTCTCTGGTTTCCCTTAGCATTTTTTCCTTCATTTCAACCTGGTGAATCTAACGATTGTGTGTCTTGCAATTGCTCATCTCAAGGAGTATCTTGGTGGTGTTCTCTGTATTTCCTGAATTTGAATGTTGACCTGTCTTGCTAGGTTGGGGAAGTTCTCCTGGATAATATCCTGAAGAGTGTTTTCCAACTTGGTTTCATTCTCCCCATCACTTTCAGGTACACTGATCAAACGTAGATTTGTGGTTTCATGTAATCCCGTATTTCTTGGAGGCCTTGTTCATTTCTTTTCACTCTTTTTCTCTCCAATATTGTCTTCTTGCTTTATTTCATTGAGTTAATCTTCAAACTCTGATATCCTTTCTTCTGCTTGATCAATTAGGTTACTGAAACTTGTGTATGCTTCATGAAGTTCTTTTGCTCTGTTTTTCAACTCCATCAGGTCATTTATATTGTTCTCTAAACTGGTTATTCTAGTTAGCATTTCATCTAACCTTTTTTCAAGGTTCTTGGCTTCCTTCTATTCTGTTAGAACATGCTCCTTTAGCTTGGAGAAGTTTATTATTATCCACCTTCTGAAGCCTGCTTCTGTCAATTTGCCAAACTCATTCTATGCTCAATTTTGTTCCCTTGCTGGTGAGAAGTTGTGATCCCTTGGAGGAGAAGAGGCCTTCTGGTTTAGGGAATTTTCAGCCTTTTTGTGCTGGTTTCTTCCCATCTTGATGGATTTATCTACCTTTGGCCTTTGAGGTTGGTGACCTTTGGATGGGATCTCTGAGTGGACACCCTTTTTGTTGATGTTGAAACTATTTCTGTTTCTTAGTTTTCCTTCTAACAGTCAGGCCCTTCTGCTGCAGGTCTGCTGGAGTTTGCTGGAGGTCCACTCCAGACCCTGCTTGCCTGGCATCACCAGTGGGGGCTGCAGAACAGCAGATATTGTTGCCTGTTCTTTCCTCTGGTAGCTTCATCCCAGAATGGTACCTGCCAGATGCCAGCCAGAGCTCTCCTGTATGAAGTGTCTGTTGGCCCCGTCTGAATCTCCCAGTCAGAATACACAGGAATCAGGGAGCCACTTGAGGAGGCAGCCTGTCTCTTATCAGAGCTTGAACACTGTGCTGGGAGATTTGCTGCTCTCTTTGGAGCTGCCAGGCAGGGATGTTTAAGTCTGTTGAAGCTGTACCCACAACTGCCCCTTTTCCTAGATGCTCTGTCCCCGGAAGGTGGGAGCTTTATTTATAAGTTCCTGAGGTGCTGCTGCCTTTTTTCAAAGATGCCTTGTCCAGCGAGGAGAGAATCCAGTGACACAGTCTTCCTGCAGAGGCCTTACTGAGCTGCCATGGGCTCTGCCTAGTTCAAACTTCCCTGCCACCTAGTCAAGCCTCAGCAATGGTGGATGCCCCTCCCTCTACAAAGCTCAAATGTTCCAGGTTGAGCTCAGACTGCTGTGCTGGCTGCACGAATTTAAAGCCAGTGGATCTTAGCTTGCTGAGTTTTGTGGGGTTAGGACTTGTTTAGCCAGATCACTTGGCTCTCTGATTCAGGGGATTGAATGGTTCTAGCTCTCTGGAATTCCAGGTGCCACTGTGGTATGAAAAAAAAACTGCTGCAGCTAGCTCAGTGTCTTCTCAAATGGCCACCTAGTTTTGTGCTGTAAACTCAGGACCCTGGTGTTCTAGGCACCAGAGGAGATCTCCTGATCTGCAGATTGTGAAGACCATGGGAAAAGTGCAGTATCTGGGCTGGAGTGCAAAGTAAAGTCCCTAATGGCTTCTTTTGGCAAAGAAAGGGAGTTCCCCAGCCCCTTGCACTTCCTGGGTGAGGTGATGCCTCACCCTGCTTCAGCTCACCCTCCTTGGGCTGCACCAGCTGTCCAACCAGTCCCAGTGAGATGAACCAGGTACCTCAGTTGGAAAGGCAGAGATCAGCAGCCTTTTGCATCAATCTCACTGGTAGCTGCACCCCAGAGCTGTTCCTATTTGGCCATCTTGCCAGTAATCACCTTTAATGACTTCTTTCACAGGAAATACAGCTAGCCAATGAAGGACTTTCCAGCTTATGTCTCTAGATGCTAGAAAATTCAGATTTCAACACCCATTGCATTGTTAGTGTATTAGTTTATATAAAGAATCATAATTAGGCCAGGCTCAGTGACTCACACCTGTAATCCCAGCACTTTGGGAGGCTGAAGAGGGTAGATCACTTGAGGTCAGGAGTTCAAGAACAGCCTGGCCAACCTGGTGAAACCCCATCTCTACTAAAAATACAAAAATTAGCCAGGCGGTGGTGGCATGCACCTGTAATTCCAGCTACTAAGGAGGCTCAGGCAGGAGAGGCAGACATTGCAGTGAGCCAAAATCGTGCCACTGCATTCCAGCCTAGGCAAAAAAGCAAGAGAGTTTCTATCTCAAAAAAAAAAAAAAAGAATCATTATTAGATTAGACATGTTCATCTCTTATTAACATATTCACAACCTCATTTACACTTTTCTTATTTAGTAAAAATTAGTGTTTTCACATTTAATTCCACTGAAAGTAAAAAAATTCCTAACTGTGGCAGAGGGACAAGTAAACACAGAAGCTAAACTGCTTTCGTGCTTCCTGGTATCATGTCTCTGTCTATTTTAAACAGAGAGGATCAAGTTTCTACTTTAGAAAATAAGCAAAACAAATCATTAGTGATATTAATCATTGTCAGTTTATTTTTCCTCCTCTTTTTTATTTGGTTAGGTGCTGACATGTATAAGCTTTAAGTAAATTGAACGTCCACTTGTATTTTATTGCTTGTTACAAACCCTCAAACCACAGCAATAGTCACAGTTTATGTTAGAAACAGCAAAATCGATGTGAATTCTGGAGTTGACAGTGACAGATGGAAGCCCTCATGCAGATGCGCTCACTGCTTCGCAGGACTTGAGGTCCTTGGGAATTTTGTGTGCTGTTTGTGATACAGGTGACTTGGAAGACAGTGTGCCCAGGCAGCAGCTCCCCTCCAGCTCACACCCATGGGAATGGAACACTCGGCTCAATTGCAGTAGGCATCCAGATTTACATTCTTTGAGAAGTAAATCCCATAACAGAGAAGTCTGTGGCTATGTACCAACTGCCTTCAGGTCTTCCACAATCTGTCCTCAACCACAGAACCTCCCAGGGGAAGTAAAAGCTGAGCTTATGGCTGGGAACCAGAACAGGAGCCTCACATGGTCCCAGAACCGCTGGGTGACACCTGGTAAGACTCATCTCACTTTAGGACCTGGTCTCCTCCTCCAAAAATAGTCAGTAGTGCCCACAATGCATATTTTAAGGTTTTCGTGCTCAAACAACATTTGTGAGCACTTACTATTTACTGGGAGCTGAGTGACGGTGGGGCCATGTGTTCTCACTGGGGACGCCATCCAACATGCTCCCTTCCAGGTACCATCCTCCCACCCATGAAACCCTCCACATATCCAGGGAGGAAGGTGATGCTGCTCCCTGCTGCCTGTGTGCAGTGTGACTCGCAGGAGCTCCTCCTTTCATTCAGCAGGAAGCTTTTGCAAAGTGCCTGCATGCTTTAGAGGCTTTGCAGGGCCCTAGGAATACAAAGACCCATGAGACAAATGTCTGGTTGTTAGATTCCCCAGTGCAGTAAGCAATGAAATAAATTACCATGCGATGCAATCCTGTCTTATGGCAGAGGTATGAGCAACGTGCTGCAGGTGGAAACTACTGAGATATGTGAACCTGATTTTGACAGAGGGAGAAGGTGAAGGTGTCCCCTAGCAAGTGTAGTGAGGGCCGGCCAGGAGGATGCACCACAAATGGTCAGATGGGGATGGTGGAGACCAAGGCTGTTGTTCCAGGCTCGGGATGGGCATGCACCCTCACAGGGGGAGGGTGGCGGCAGCAGGGAAAGGGGAAGAATCCATGAGAGAGGGTTAAAATCAACTGCATATATTTTAAACATCTATTCTGACAGGGCAATGATATTTTCACAGTAATCCATTTACTGAATAACATCAGAGCAACTGTAGTGTATTATTCTCCCTAGAGCTGACCTTTTTATCTTAAGGTAGCACACTTTTTAAACATTTTGTTCAAAAAAGTCTTCTGTTTTCTCCTGTGAACATGTATGATGTGGTCAGGGAAAGGTTGTTGTCTTTTATAATATAGAAAAGACTCCAAAGGACTTGACCTTCCTGTCCTCTGAGTACCCATCTGCCCCTCCATCTGCTGACTTGGGACCACTTATGTGATCATATTCCTCTGAGTAATAGGAAGATTCTGTCCTACTCATTGATTGCAACCCACAAAACTGCTTTCAGTTCAAAACCATGTTCTGGAATAGCAGAGTGCATGCCGTGGCTCAGCAGGCCTGGGATTCCTTTTCCACTGGCAGTATCGACTTCCAAGTCTAAGACGGTGACTGTCCCCGTCAGTAGTCACCTTCCTTGTCATCGAAGGAGTGACTGCTGGCTGCGATGCTCACTAGCAGAGGAGAGTGGGCAGCTAGAGATCCCTACACTCTTGTTCTCTTCTGGGATCCTCCGGGCCGAGCCAAGTTAGGTTAGAATGTCCTTCCGTGTCTGCTGTTACACATAGGTATACTCCGTGTGTGCACCCAAATCATTAAAGGTGCAGAATTTTGCCTCCAAGAAGGAAATTACAATGCACACAAGTCTTTCTTTCCTCTCTCTGTTGTTCATTCATTTTGGGATCTCTGTGAGGCCAAATCCACCCAGTGCCCAGCACCACCCCTGGGGGTGGAGGGAAGTGGTCTGTAGGCATCAGTAACATCAGTAACAGTGGTTCATCTCCACTGGGCATGCTTTCACCTGCCAACACCACATGCGATGTCACTTCTCAGAGCTCAGCATTTGCATTATGCTGGCTGGATGCCTCCGGCAGGCCTCAGAAAGACCACTAAGCACTGGAAGGAGCTTCGGGCCTGTGAGTCCTCCAAAGGACCAGCTCATCACTGGCCCAGTCTGAGGGGTAGGGAATACCAGAGTTTACTTGGAATGTTCAAATTTTTAAATCCTGTAGGTCAGAGGTTCCAAACCCAGCTGCCCAGAATCATCCAAGGAACTTAAAAATAATACATACCAGCACCAGGCTCCACCGGCCCCACTGCCCCACTGGATGAGAAGTGGCCCATCTGAGAAAATGCTACCATCTCCTGTCACAGCTGGCATTTAGCCAGAAGTAAATGAGTACACAGCCAGAGTAGGGTGGGTCCCTACATCCCACAGTGCATAAATCTGAAGTGAACTGCAAGCTGCAGATTGAAATCTACATTCTTCATGCTGTTGTCACTGCAGTGCTCATGATTCCCCTCTCCCCTGGCTGAATGGAGTGTACTGAAGCCAAGAAATATGTCTTCGCAAAAAGTCTTGTACAGATTCTGACCACAGCCACTGGGTCAACTCCCTAAGGATTCCACTCAGAATTTGCATGACTGCACCTGTGTGGATTGGAATATCCTGGTTTTGGGTCACTCTGAACCTGAGCAGGAAGTGCCTGAGTGACCACCAAAGCACTTCTCAAAGGTCACTGTAGGTTCACAGCCACAGAGGCTGACAACCAAGACAGGAGGCTGACTCCAGGAGCTCGACAGGCTTTTGAGTAGCAGGAAGAAACACTGCAAAGCTGTAGACCAGCAAAGTGGGTTTACATCCTCTGTAATGTTTCAACATCTTTGGGTTCCAACAAATATTATAATTATATTAGGTGGGGAGGAAAGAGTCATGTGAGAAAATAGTAACTAAAGTCTAAAAAAGAAGAAAACCTCAAAAAAAATAAGTCATGCCCATTGGGAATGATAGTATGGGGAGTTAAAAAATAAAAATTCACGCCCAAATGTTGGATCCAATGGCAGAAACAAAGCTATGAGGAAGTATCAGGCCCTCATTTTTTTCTTTGTTTCCCATGAAAATACAATTTTCATCAGATATTTAAGCCCATTTGGATAAAGACTCCATCCCAGTTGGCACAGCAATGTACAAGGCACTTTTAACATAAAATATGAATGCAGTAAAAGTCTGATATCGAATTTGAAAGGAGATTTCTGAAGATGACTTCTCAGGAAAGCTTTCAAGGACCATAAAATTATAGGTGACTCATGGTCTCAATCCTTGTAACTAAAAAGAAGCATGTGGCCAACAGTAGGCAAGCAGCACTGATGGAATCCCTGCCATGTTCACAGGTTTCTTTGAATTAGAAGAAATCCTTACTCATTTAGTTAACCTAAGTTTGAAAGCTCAAGCACTTTGTGGTTGTCAGAAGCTATATGACAAATCTAAAATACAGAATTGGTTTGTATTCCAGAGGTTTTTGTTTTGTTTTGTTTTGTTTGTCTTTCTATGAAAATAAGACCAAACCACAAAATCTCTTGGTTTCTTAAGGCCACAAGGCCTTGTCGAAACCAAAGCAAGAGTTCTCTTACAAAGCTCTGTCCAAAAATTGTTCTGGTGAATGATAAATTGCAGCCAGTCTCTATCCAATGCCAAAATGGCAGGAACAAAATGTTTCACTTGTCTAGTCTTCTGAATCAACAAGGCTCACCCTGGTGTCCCAGCCTGCAGTGAACACTTGCTCCTAATGAGGCTTTGGGTGGCTTCAAATCCTGGCTGTCTGTGGCACAGTTGGTGCCTCCTTTATATGGTTTGACTCCGTGTCTCCACCCAAATCTCACCTTGACTTGTGATCCCCATAATCCCCACATGTCAAGGGCAAGACCAGGTGGAAGTAATAGGATCATGGGGGTGGTTTCCTCCATGCTGTTCTCATGATAGGTAGTAAGTCTCATGAGATCTGATGGTTTTATAAGCATCTGGCATTTCCCCTGCTTGCATTCATTCTCTCACCTGCCACCCTGTGAAGAGGCTCCTTTCACCATGATTGTAAGTTTTCTAAGGCCTCCCCAGCTATATGGAACTGTGAGTCAATTAAACCTCTTTTCTTGGGTATTCGTAGCAGCATGAGAACGGACTACAGTAAATTGGTACCAAGAGCGGGGTGCTGCTGTAAAAATACACATAAATGTGGAAATGACTTTGGAACTGGGTAACACACAAAGGTTGGAACATTTTGGAGGGCTCAGAAGAAAACAGGAAAATGTAGGAAAGTTTGGAACTTCCTAGAGACTTGAATGACTTTGACCAAAATGCTGATAGTGAACCAGACAATGAAGTTCAGGCTGAGGTGGTCTCAGATGGAGATGAGAAACTTGTTGGTAACTGGGGTTATACTTTCACTCTTGCTATGTTTTAGCAAAGAGACTGGTGGCATTTTGCCCTTGTCCTAGAGATCTGTGGAACTTTGAACTTGACAGAGATGATTTAGCATATCTGGCAGAAGAAATTTCTAAGTGGCAAAGTGTTCAAGAAGAAGCAGAGCTTTAAAGTTTGGAAAATGTGCAGCTTGGCAAGGCATTGGAAAAGAAAAACCCATTCTCTAGGGAGAAATTCAAGCCCACTACAGAAATGTGTATATGTAATGAAGAGCTGAATGTTCATCACCAACACAATGAGGGAAATGTCTCCAGGGAATGTCAGAGACCTCCAAGGCAGCCCTACCATCACAGGCCTGGAGGCCTAGGAAGAAAAAAATTGTTTTGAGGGCAGGGCCTAGGACCCCCCTGATCTACACAGCTTCAGGACATGGTGCCCTGCATCCCAGCTGTTTCAGCTCCAGCTGTGGCTAAAAGGAGCCAAGGTACAGCTCAGGCCATTGCTTCAGAGAGTGCAAGTCCCAAGCCTTGGTGACTTCCACGTGATGTTGAGCCTGTGGGTGCACAGAAGTCAAAAATTTAGGTTTGGGAACCTCCACCTAGATTTCAGATGATATAGGGAAATGCATGGATGTCCAGGCAGAAGTTTTCTCCCTCATGGAGAACTTCTGCTAGGGCAATGCTGAAGGGAAATATGGAGTTGGAGCCCCCACACAAAGTACCCACTGGGGCACTGCCTAGTGGAGCTATGAGAAGAGGACCACCATCTTCCAGACCCCAGAATGGTAGATTCATTGACAGTTTGCACTGTGTACCTAGAAAAGCAGCAGACACTCAATGAAAGCAGCTGGGAGGGAGGGGAGCTGTACCCTGCAAAGTCACAGGGGTGAAGTTGCCCAAGGCTGTGGAAGCCTACCTCTTGCATCAGCATGACCTGGATGTGAGACAGGGAGTCAAAGGAGATCATTTTGGAACTTTGTGATTTAATGACTGCGCTATTAGATTACAGACTTGCCTGGGGCCTTTGTTTGGGCCAATTTCTCCCATTTGGAATGGCTGCTTTTACCCAATACCTGTACCCCCATTGTATCTGGGAAGTAACTAACTTGCTTTTGCTTTTGATTTCACAGGCTCCTAGGCAGAATAGACTTACCTTGTCTCAGGTGAGACTTTGGACTTGGACTTCTGGGTTCATGCTGGAATGAGTTAAGACTAACACTTTGAGGACTGTTGGAAAGGCATGATTGTGTTTTGAAATGTAAGGACATGAGATTTGAGAGGGGCCAGGTGCAGAATGATATGGTTTGAATCTGTGTCCCCACCCAAATTTCACCTTGAATTATAATCCCCATATGTCAAGGGTGGAACCAGGTGGAGGCAATGTGGTCATGGGGGCAGTTTCCCCCATGCTGTTCTCATGATAGTGAGTCTCACAAGATCTGATGGTTTTATAAGCATCTGACATTTCCCCTTCATGCACCTATTCTCTCTCCTGCTGCCCTGTGAAGAGGTGCCTGCCGCCATGATTCTAAGTTTGCTGAGGCCTCTTCAGCCATGCATAACTGTGAGTCAATTAAACCTTTTTCTTTATCGATTACCCAGTCTTGGGTATTTCTTCATTGCAGCATAAGAACAGACTAATACACTCCTTCCCAGTGAACTGAGGACAATGTCACCTAATGGCGGTCTTGCTCCAAAGGCCTTCACATAGGTGGTGTGGCCTAAGGAATGTGTGCTGACTTCATTAATGATACATGACATCTAACATCACAATGTTCTCAAGTATCTGGTTTACTAGTGCTTCCCAACTCACATAATGCCACATGAATTATATGCAAGTAAGAAATTCAGTCCAGATTCATTCCTGCTGCTTGTATCACGAGTATAGATTCCACTCATTTTGACATGGGGAGAATTAGGGTAAACTTCAGCTCTCTTAAATCTCCTGGGACTTCATGCACACCTTACTTTCTCTCTCTTCTCTACACAGGACTAGCCTTACTGAAATTTTCCTGAAAGTTCTTATTTCAAGTATGACATAAGCAGGGAGGGTTGGTTGCCCTAATGGCAGAAGATTCCAATAAAACAAACTCCAGGAGGCCCTCTCCTTATACAAGATATTTTGCCTAGCTGCTCATCATGTGGTATTCAGCAGCACATTACACTACTTTGTGCGTATACAATTGTATTGCATGTAATTAGTTTGCACTCAGCATTCATTCTCAACCCTTTCTAGGGTGCTTTCCTGCACTATAGAACCCGAGAGGCTAAAATCTACATTTCCTAGACTTCTTTTCAGCAAAAGACCTGAGGATGTTAAAAGTCACTGAGATTTTAAAGGGGGAAGCCAGGTAAAGGAGAGACTGGTGCCCTCTGGCTTCTTATCAGCTGATAACAAGGTCTTAGGAATATGAGGTTTCTACCTATTGCTGTGCTTTAGTGCCCCATCTCCAGCTTCCTCGGTATTAAGAGGCAGTTACAGGTGAGACAGGGACCTCATTCTGCCTCTGAAAGTCCATCTCCAGCTTTGTGGGTATAGAGAGGCCACTGCCACCCTAGCAATAGGGCTTTCCAATGTATCAGTGGCTCTCAGCCTTAAGAGTGTGGCCCAGACATAGGCATGGGCAAGGACTTCATGACTAAAACACCAAAAGCAATGGCAACAAAAGCCAAAATAGACAAATTGGATCTAATTAAACTTAAGAGCTTCTGCACAGCAAAAGAAACAATCATTACAGTGAACCAGCGACCAACAGAATGGGAAAAAATTTTTGCAATCTACCCATCCGACAAAGGGATAATATCCAGAATCTACAAAAAACTAAAACAAATATACAAGAAAAAAACAACCCCATCAAATAGTAGGCAAAGGATATGAACAGATACTTCTAAAAAGAAGACATTTATGTGGCCGACAAACATGAAAAAATGCTCATCACTGGTCATTAGAGAAATGCAAATCAAAACCACATTGAGATACCATCTCATGCCAGTTAGAATGGCGATCATTAAAAAATCTGGAGACAACAGATGCTGGAGAGGACATGGAGAAATAGAAACGCTTTTACACTGTTGGTAGGAATGTAAATTAGTTCAACCATTGTGGAAGCCAGTGTGGCAGTTCCTCTAGGATCTACAACTAGAAATATCATTTGACCCAGCGATCCTATTACTGGGTATATACCCAAAGGATTATAAATCATTTCTATTATAAAGATATATGCACATGTATGTTCATTGCAGCACTGTTTACAGTAGTGAAGACTTGGAATCAACCCAAATGCCCATCAACGATAGACTGGATAAAGAAAATGTGGCACATATACATGATGGAATAGTATGCAGCCATAAAAAAGGATGAGTTCATGTCCTTTGCAGGGACATGGATGAAGCTGGAAACCATCATTCTCAGCAAACTGACACAAGAACAGAAAACCAAACACTGGATGTTCTCACTCAGAATTTGGAGTTGAACAATAAGAACACATGGTCACAGGGAGGAGAAAAATCACACACCAGGGTCTGTAGGGGGTGGGAAGCTGGGGGAGGAATAGCAGGGGATGAGGAGATTAGGGAGGGATAACAGGAGAAATACCTAATGTAGGTGACGGGGGGATGGAGATAGCAAACCACCAGGGCATGTGTATACCTATGTAACAATCCTGCAAGTTCTACACACGTACCCCAGAACTTAAAGTAAAATAAAAAATAAAAATTTAAATTAAAAAAAAAAGAGTGTGGTCCTGAATCTTACAGGCCCAGGGGTCAGCACCAGACTCTCTGGCACCTGGGCATTATTTTCAGAGTTCTAGACTGGAACCTGGTTATCCAGCCCCAACAACAATTGTGTGAGCACCCAATTCATTAATATACAGTCATTCTGCTTAAGATACATCAAGTAGATTCTGCGTTCTGCCCTGAACCTTGACTGGCACAGGAAATAAAACACATTCCACATCTGTAATGTTTTATTGGCTGTCTCATAGGTCAGTTTGTGCAGCACCAAGCTTGAATCCACGAAGATCACTGTGGAGCCTAAAGCCCCACCTTGTATCTGATCCACTGTGGTGACTTCTGATGAATCCCTGTTCTAGGAACAACTCTAAGATTTCTACTTTATCTATTGTTACCATAAATCCTACCCTTAGGTCAAAAAAAGAACCTTGACTGGCCAAATACGGTGCCTCACACCTATGATCCCAGCACCTTGGGAGGCCCAGGCAGGCAGATCACCTAAGGTCAGGAGTTCAAGACCAGCCTGACCAACATGGTAAAACCCTGTCTCTACTAAAAATACAAAAAATAGCCAGGCATGGTGGCAGGTACCTGTAATCCCAGGTACTCGGGAGGCTGAGGCAGGAGAATCACTTGAACCAAGGAGGCGGAGATTGTAGTGAGCTAAGATTACACCACTGCACTCTAGCCTGGGTGACAAGAGCAAGACTCCACCTCAAAAAAACAGAAAACAGAACCTTGACCATAATTCTTGCCATTAGGCAGATTCGAACAGCACTCTTGCCTTTCCCTGAGGAGTCGGCTGCACTGGTGTATAAGTCCTGGGTCTGGAAGTGATGGTGTGGGGATCCATCATCCTGTTTGGCGACTGCCTGAGACTCTGGCTTCTGTTCCTAAGTCCCCATTAAATGTTTCTTTCTGAGAAAATGGATGTGTTGGCCACTTTCTTCAGCCTCTCAGCTTCCTCGGACTTTGGAGGTAAGTGTGCATAGATCTGATCACTGTAAAACAATCGTAGGCTGTTAAAATTGGCAAGTTCTTAGTGACCATGCCACGGTTTGCCAAACACCAAAGTCCCAGGAACCATCTTGGAAAATGCCCACCAAGTAGTAGCAACAGGGTTGGCTTTATTGAGTACCATATTAACTGGGGAGGAGGAGACATTAGTATATTTGTATCATTGGAAATTCACTTAGACATTCAGCAAGGAACCTGTATAGACCCTATATAGAAGCCACTTGACCCAAACACTTGAAGGGCCCAGAGAAACTTAGAGCTAATGATGTCATGAGGACGCTTTCTTTTTCTTTTTCCTTTCTGTATTTTTTTTTAGAAGAAGAAGAAAGAAGTAGAGAATAAGCTACTAAATTTTAAGAAGGTAAGTTTTAGGTTTTCAAAAATCAGAATAACACAGTCAAGTGCTATCGACACCAGACTTAAAAGTTAGTTCATAGAAAGAAAAAAAAAGAAAAGGAGGTTATGCCAAAGGCTTGGCGAAGCCTTGTATGTCTTTCTGAGAAACTAAAAAGCTAATATCACTTCCCACAGCTGGGCTGATCATAAGACATGATAAGTGCATCGTGCATTTCTATAGAGTAAGAAACTAAATTCACTGAAGTAAAATATTGCCTAACAGAATAAGAGACCGCAAATAAACTCCATTATTTAGTGTCCATACATGTAGAGGACAAAGATTCTATTCCTTCTTTCTATTCCCAAAGCCTATCATTATGCAAGGCACAGAACGGGCCTTCAATAAATATTTAATTAGTGAAGGATGCTGGAGATCGATGAGGGAAGAGGAGAAATTAATGTATTTACTTGGAATTTATATTCATGCAAACTTCAAAGTATAATGGAAGTTTCACAAGAACTAAACATATGTAAACAGAACAATTTAAAATAAAAACGTAATGAAAGTAAGTTTAGAAAGAGAGATGTGAGATAGGGCCAATTCGCCGAAAATCATTGAAATGACCAACTTAGGAAATGCTGACGATGAGCAATGTAAGGAATGACCTAGAAAGGAGCAGTAACAGCAGCAACAAATACCACATTTAAGGGAAGTTAGCTATCAAGTCCTGGAAAAAAGGAAACTTGATGTGCTAATTGAGAAATTGAAAAAAAAAATGCTAAACATTCCAAAACTTTGGCAAGTTAAGAAATTACATCAACATAAAGTCAAAGGAAATTGTTACCTACTGAAAAAGGTCAGATGAAATGTTGAAACTGTGGTTGCTGATAACAAAAATCAACCTTTCTGAACATTGAATATATCCATAAGAAGTCCAACTTACCTTATGCCTCTTGGAAATCAATAAATTAAATATTCCTTAAAATAGTACCCTGAAAAACAAAACAGAAAGAGTCAAGTGCAACTGCTGAGATACCTTCAGAAGGTGCCAAGAGCGGCGGAGTCCATCCTCTTTCCCAGCCACACTGGTTTCCTTCTGGATTCTTGCAAGCAGATGCCTCACCTCCTGGCGAAGCTTTCCCATTAGTTGGTTCCCTCCCCCTCCTGCTACCTCTCTCACCTGATCTGACACGGCATCATTATTTAATTGCTTCTGTAACTTGCACACACATTGTAAAGGTCCTGAAGGCAGCCACTGCATGCTCCCTCTGTATCCCCAGGTCTGATTGGAAGACCTGGTTCTCAGCAGCCTCTCAACGTGTGTTAAATGAATGGATGAATGAACGAACAGACAAGATCTCTACTGAGAGATTAGAAGTGGATGGGAACTACGGGGTCCTGGCCTGGGACAATGTCTGGCCCAACGGGGAGGGCGGTGGGGTCCCAGGTACACCTGAACAGGTTCTGAGCACCTGGGGAAAAGCCTCCGAGGAGGCTCTTTGCCAATGTTATAATTTTGACTGGAGCCCACCTTAGGTGTAACCATCAACCAAATTGCAACAGACTCTGAAATTCTAAGTACATCTAACTACATCACTAGAAATGGGAAATAGGGAAAAGATCTCAGAGAAACTGCATTCCTGAGATTTTATGCTCAGAGCACTTCCCATGGGCTTCGTGATATAACATGTATCAAAACTCGGCTTCAACCGACGGATCCCCAAGTGAGGTAGGGCTGTCCAGGAGCTACAATGTTTCCTAATAAACAGAGAACCATGACAGGCAAATGATCTGGACCCCCAGCTGTCCCCACAACATTGCGTGGATGGTTTCAATATGGTGTTTTAAAAAGCATATTTTGTATTTTTGTTAAAAGACAGACCAGATGCCCACTTTCATCTGGTCCCCCTTGCCCAGAATAAAAAAGGATGATGAATTCCCTCAGTGCCCAGGATAAATATAGGAATTCTGATTGACCATCAGCCCTGCAAGGACTTCCCAAAAGAGGACAGCTTCAAGGAGAATTTGCAAAAACAGGAGTGTGACTCAGACAGACTCCAAAGTCAAATGCCTAAGAAACATGAAAGAAAGTCAAAAGCAAAGACAAAGACATATGTATTTAAAGAGCTGTTTGAAGGCATTAAATAGGGCGACCCCTAGGATTATGGTATTATTTCTGGCTTGGACAGTATAAGATATGAAATGAACTCATGCTAATTTCTCTTTTTTAAAAATAAAATGGCAAGATCAAGCAGAGAATATTTAATTTAAGATGGGCTGTCCATGGCTGTGCCCATCACTCATTTGTATCTAAAGCCCTCTCCGAAAACAACTGAGAGGCGTTGCAGATAAAAATGCACCGATATTCCATAAATAAAAAGCCATCAAAATAGACATTAAAGATAACTGGTACATGCTCGAATGCTTCCCTCCTCACACAAACAAGTTATTATTTTAACAGAACTGCTCGGTGGATGCTCTCACCTGTCCAAACAGCAAAAGCAAGTCTCTACAGAGCACAAACCGGAGTTCACCTGAACAGACGCTCTGAAGATTAACTGTGTGGAAATGGAGCTATTTGGTGGCCGACAAGCACAGCTTTCTGTATTCAGGCATCAAAGTGACAGTCCTTTTGTTTGCAAATGCGCATTGCCTCCGATTAAGTGCTTTAACGACACCCAGGGACAAAGCTGAACTTTCACATTTTCTAACCCATCTCCGGAGTGTGCATCTGTGTGGGGAGGGGGGAAGGCATAGGGGGTTGTGGGTGTGGGTGTGTGGTGTGCTCACATGTGCACCCACACACTTAGCTGTGCTCGAATATCAAGAGGCACAACGTGGACTAACTGCATGTTCAAAAGAGGAGCGTGGCAGCTTACAGTTGCCAGCCTGTGTGTTTGCCGTATGCTGGCTCATAACAGTGCCTCTGCAAGCGGTTCAATGCTTTCCAGAAAGTGCCACAACAGAGCCAGGATCTGGTTGCTGGCCCAGCCAGGCTAGTGGAGTTGTGTGTGATATCGTAAAGAGGCCAGTGTTCAGCTCACCCTCTGGGGACTTTTCATGCGAGTCGCACATCTTCTGAAAACGCTTCTGTTTAGGGCTCTGGATTTTTCTCGTCCTCTGCAGCTGTCTTAACTATGAAAAGCCTGAGAGAGACATGAAAATGCAGTTATTTTTTACGTGGAGCACATTCCACAAAACCCAAGGCTTCTCTTCTGGAGTTGACGCTTCTTTCCTGCTAATCCTCTACCTCTCGTCTTTCTCCCTTTTTCATCTCCCTAATCCATTGGTTCAACTGCTATCTCCACGCTCACCTTCTGTGGCCCCAGGCTTTTTATTCCACCCTCAGACCCTCTTGTACCTAAAAATGGCACCACTGCATTCACCCAGAATGACAAGGCCTCATTCTCTCTCTTCCTCCCCATCTTAGACTCTCAGGCCGTGTGGCTGCAGCTCCCACGGAGGGTTCACAGCACTAGTTCTGTCGGATAGTAGAATGCAAAGATGTGCATCTATTTATGAAAATGTTTGGCTCACATAGCTGCGTATGAAACTAGACACTAGACCATTAAAGAAGGGATATAGACCAATGGCCGTAAAGCAAGCAAAGCACTCAGGAAGTTCTGTAGCTGGAGTTCTGATCGCAGTTCCAGACAATGATGTGACTTGCCTATTTATAACCCTGCATCTTCATAAAGACATATCAGAATGCAGAATTTATCAATATCTTTTGGGGTTTTAGTATCAGTTTTTCCCAGGCAAGTTAACTTACACAGACCTAGGTTGAAGAAATGATTACCACAAGCGACTGCGGCATGTTGCCCAAAACGTAAAATAAGAAAGAAGTTGCCGACACTCGTCCATCTGCAGACAGGAGATCTAGTTCTGTCTTACGCCTTGGCGGGATACATATGTGCCGGCGAAAACTAAAAAGCGCAGTATTGCCATTGCTCTGTCCCAGCTGTGACACTCACACCAACACTGCCATTTATTTCATGAGTAGATTGTGAAGATTCATTAGGAAATGTTTCTAAAGTGCCTGGAATTCACTAGGAAGATACAGGAGGGACTTTTGAGTAGCCTCAGATATAGTCACATGGGAGCCTCTGGGAAACCATCTTTGCAGTAGTTTTGTTTCACGTAGCAACCTTGGCATGAAGTTAGGGGAAGTGTTTTAGTTTCTTTGGGGAGGGGGCACTAAATTAAGAAACAAAATATTAAATAGGTGTTAGATTCTAAAAATATCTAAGCTACAGCTGCCTCTTTCAATCCATGCCGTAGGCTGTGTTCATAAGAATGCACCAAATGTGTCAGTGAATCAAATCACCATTGCCCTCGATTGACTGGAACCCATCCTTCCCTCGAGGTTTCATTTGTAGGCTTGATATATGCTGGCCCATGGACTTCTGACTTCAGTATCTCCTTAGGCGGCACACACTCTCCAATACCTGCATACACACCCACACACACTACCCACCTTCCCTACACACGAACACCCACTCTTCCCTACACACATACTTTCTTCCCTACATACACACACACAGACACACACTTCCCTACACACACACCACCCATTCTTCCCTAAATACATACACACCACCTACACCCTCTACACACACACTCTTGCCTAAACACACAGTCTTCCCTACACAGTCTCTTCCTTACACACACACTCTTCCCTACACACACACCACCCATTCTTCCCTAAATACATACACACCACCTACACCCTCTACACACACACTCTTCCCTACACACACAGTCTTCCCTACACAGTCTCTTCCTTACACACACACTCTTCCCTACACACACACTCTTCCCTACACACACTCTTCCCTACACACATACTTTCTTCCCTACATACACACACACAGACACACACTTCCCTACACACACACCACCCATTCTTCCCTAAATACATACACACCACCTACACCCTCTACACACACACTCTTCCCTACACACACAGTCTTCCCTACACAGTCTCTTCCTTACACACACACTCTTCCCTACACACACACTCTTCCCTACACACACTCTTCCCTACACACACACTCTCTTCCCTACACTACACACACACCACCCACTCTTTCCACATACACACACATCACCTACACTTCCCTAAACACACACACACACACACACACACACACTCTCTCTCTCTCTCTCTTCCCTGTCTTGACCCCTTCCAATCTGATCACTTCCTCCAGCCCCCATGCTTCTGACAATGGAACCCTTTTTGGAGGAAAAGAAAGTCCGTGCTTTTCTCAGTACATGGTTTATAATGCTTTTTCTCTCTGAAGCTCATGGAAAAGACAAACTGTAACTTAGAGGAGATTCAAGTCCTCCCTCAATTCGCACTTGGGTGGCCCCGTGGCCTTCCAAGAGTGATTGGCACCAGCCTCAGATTCTTCATCTGCTAATACAGATGGTGAGCCTTATCTTGACCTTCCTTCCAGGGCACGTGGAAAGACTGAATGGTGTAACAAATGTGAACACTTTTTGAAAAGCACGACACGATTTAAACACACTGTGTATCTTAGATCATGTGTGCTGCTATAACAGCATACTGGAGGCTGGGCAATTTCTACAGAACAGGAATTTATTAGCTCACAGTTCTGGAGGCTGGGAAGTCCAGAAGCATGGCACCAGCATCTGCTGGCAAGGAGCTTTCTACTGTGCCATCCCATGGTGAGAGGTGGTTGGGCAAGAGAGGGCAAGAGCAAGAGAGAGAGAGTGCAAAGGGGGCTCAAACTCACTTTTATAACAAACCCACTCCTGCAGTAATGAACCCACTCCCTCAACCACAACATTAATCTGTTCAGGAGGGCAGAGCCCTCCTGATGTAAACACCTCCCATTAGGTTCAACACTATTGCATTGGGAATTAAGTTTCAAACACATGAACTTTGGGGAACACATTCAAACCACAGCACTAGGCATGTGTATTTATTTAATTAAAGATACCTCTCATATGTGATTCTGTCATTTTAAGGCAGATATCACTGAGAATAAGTGCTCTACTTTCTCTAAAATATTCCTTTGTATAACTGTGAAAGAGAGAAAAATGGGCTAGAAGGAGCACAGATCTCATCCACTAAAGAATCCCGGGGTCCTCAGCAAGACTCCTGAATTAACTGCTCCGGAATTGCCCAGCCCATGCCTTCAGCTCTGGAGAGTGACTTGCGTGATCCTGTGCATCTGCCGGGGCAGATCCAAAAGGCACCCTGAGGCCAGGTGCAGATGCCAGCGTGCGGGTCTGAAGGTTTACATTTTATAAGCTCTCTTTTAAGAAAAAAAAAAAACAAACAAACAAAATGGCAAGTCCAAAATTTAGTATAAGACGTTAGAAGGGGTCTGGGCAAGCAAGTTCCTGAAGTTTAAGTTCCATTAGCATCATGATAAACTTGCCTTTACACTCAGTTTTCCCCAACAGATGAAAAGTTTTACTAAGGACAGGGCCTGGGCCTTCTAGAAGTTTAGGAAACTTCTCATGCCCCTCAAAGTTCTATGGTCTGCATACAGTGAGTGCTTAGAGCATGCTATGGCGCAGTCAGGAATTCTTAGCGAACCCCCGTGTGCATTGTCTTTCCACTACCTTGTCTGACAATGCATGCCAAGTCAGTCATTCCCTTCAACAAATATTTTGAAGCACTCCAGTTCAGAGCTCCGTGCCAGGCCCTGAGGCAAGGCAGGTGCAAAGATACAGCAGACAGGTCCTGGCTCTCTGGGGACACCCAGGCTTGATGGAGAGGGAGGTATGCAAGCAAATGACCCGACCACAAGCAGGCAAGCTCTAGACCCAGGAGATGCACGGCACTGTGGGGCAGACAGGAAATGATGCCATTTTCCCACATAGGCAGTGACACTGAGCCCTCCTGTAAGGACGAGTATGAAGGGAAGAGCTCTTTAGACAGAATGAATGGAGCGAGGAAGCAAGGAGCCAGTGAAGAGGACCCGGAGCAGTTGATGATGGAAAGCAGTGGGGAAAGGGGTGGTAGCTGAGTGTGGAGAGTAATCCAGAGGAGGCGGATTGTGGTTGCCAACAAGCAGATCACAGAATACACCACATCCGCCAGGCTCAACAGAGCACACCCTTACTCTACTGGACTTAAAGTCGGAGTGGCAGCTAGGACACACACGGTCACACATCAACAATCAATCAAGCCGCATTTACTAGATGTGTATTTAGCTTTACTGGGCTTTTCCCCAAACACAGAAGAAGTGGACCATGCAATCCCTATGGACCTTACAGATTCACCGGGAGGAGAAAACCAGCGTCCTCAATCAGCACAAGAACTCCTCAGTGTTCGTTTGTATGGCCTGCGCTTTAAGTGCAAAAACAGCTCAAAAGGGGAAAGATTCCAGTAGGCTGGAGTCACAGGGGAGAGAAACTGGAGTTTGACCTCAGAGGAAGGAGGGCCTGAGGCCACATCCAGAGGCCACAGGTGGTCCTGGACTCTGCATCACATCAGGATTGCCCTCTCGGCTCCAGCATTCACCGGTTTGGGGGCCTCAGACATGTGACTTAACCTCCCTGCACCTCAGTTTGCTCAACCACAAAATGAAATATATTAGTCCCTCTAGCTACAAATCCTGATACAGCAAAGAGTGTCAATTATATGCTGTATACATATTAGAAGTTTCTAAGGGGAAAAAACTGGGACAAAAAGCTATTTTTAAAATGTAGGGGTAGGAGACACCGTGATTTGGATGATATTGTCTTTGCTGAGCTACCAAGCAGCTGCAGCCTGCACCAGGAGCTCAGGAGCAGGAGGCAGTGACTCCAGGAGGTCCTAAAGGAGGGATGCGCCTCCTTCCCAGGATGCACAGAGCCATCCATTTGCTGGGTTAGCAAACAGATGCCCAGCTTAGATGGGCTGACTCATTAAAGAACAACCCACAGCTCTGGAGTTTAGCAAGCCCTTTGCCAGCCGAGTTCCCAGGGAACTCCAAGCAAATCCTTAGGGAAGTCAGTCTAAGAAATTGTTTACTTATGGGTGGTTAGATTCTTCAGGGCCAGCCTTGAACCATCTGGGTTTTACTGAGCACCTGAAATTGGACCTTAATGGAATAAACTGTGAATGTAAACAAACCAGAAGAGAAATGTTTGTGACCAAGACGAGCCCCTTATGTTTTAAGAGGGG